GAAACAAAAGCAGAACACGGAGAAAATAACCAAAAGAAAACACAAAGACACTAAATAAATGAAAACACACGAAAAGAAATAAAACGGACCAAAACGATCACGAAAAACATAAAATGGGGGAAAAAGACGAGTAAAATAATCAAGAAAAACGTAACAAAAATGGGACAAACACAAGATATAAGTGAGTCACCAAGAAATATCAAATATCCAGTCACACTCTTTCTAGTATCAATGCAAGAAGCCCAGTCACTGTCACAATATGCTGTAAGTTGTAATTTAGAAGATTTAGGAAAGAGTATACCTTGTCCAATAGTGCCCTTGACATACCTTAACACTCTCTGTGCTGAGTGAAGATGCTGTGCAGTAGGTTGTGACATATATTGGCTTAAAGATTGAACAGAGTATGCTATGTCTGGTCTGCTGATAGTAAGATATAATAATCTACCTACAAGCCTTCTGAATTCAGATGGATTATCAAGAGCAGGTGAATTATCATTCTTACTTAATTTCAGAGATGAATCCATAGGAGTTAATGCAGGTTTGCAAGCAAGAAGGCCTGTCAGTTAAGATGTCTAGAGCATATTTTCTTTGACACATATGAATGCCTTGTTCAGAATGAGCAAATTCAAGTCCTAGAATATACTTGAGTTTGCCTAAATCTTTGATAATAAAGCAATCATCTAAATGTTTCTTTATGGCAGTGATATGATTCATGTTGTGACCAGTCAAAATAATATCATCAACATAGACAAGTAAGATGGTAACAAAAACTGAATCATTCATATAGAAAAGGGAGCAGTCTGCAATTGACTGAGTAAAACCATAAGACAGCAAACATGATGTTAACTTTTGAAACCACTGTCTTGAGGCTTGTTTCAAGCCATAAAGACTTTTTGTCAATTTGCAAACTTTAGTCTCAGATTCAGAACAGTAGCCAGGGGGGGATTCATGTAAACTTCTTCATTTAGATCACCATGCAAGAATGCATTATTAACATCTAGTTGATGGATGTGCCAATTTTTGAGAGATGCTAATGCAACAAGAAACCTAACAGTAGTGATCTTAGCTACTGGAGAAAATGTGTCAAAAAAATCTATGCCTTCTTCTTGTGTGTACCCTTTTGCAACTAACCTGGCTTTATATCTTTCAATAGAACCATCAGATTTATATTTTATTTTGAAAACCCATTTGCAACCTATGCAATGTTTGCCTTTTGGTAAATCGGTAAGAACCCAAGTTTTAGTTTGTTCTAAAGCATGTAATTCCTTATTCATGGCTTCTTGCCATAAAGGATCTTTGACAGCTTGTTTGAAAGTTTTGGGTTCAGTTTGAGAAGAAATCATGGCAGTGAAACATGTATGGGATGTAGACAATCTGTTGGTAGAAAGATAGTCTGAAATAGGGTAAGGTGATGTACCAGGAATGTCTGAAGTAGCATTGGAACAAGAAGAGTTTGGCTGAGGGTGAATGGAATGTTTATAAACACTGAGATATGCAGGGATTTTAGTAGGTCTATTGGATCTTCTCCTGATTGGTGATGATGTAGGAGATTGGGTTTCAGATGGAACAATTTGAATAGGAATTTGAGTAGGAATAGGTGATGGAGATTGGTTTTGTGAGGTGGAGGGATGTGATTGAGGGGAATTTATATCAGGTGTCTGAGTGATAGGAGGTTGAGTATATGACTGGTCAAATATAAATTGAGAATCAGGTGCTGGAAAAAGAGAATCAGAAGTCTCAGAAGGTGAATGATTAGCAAAGGGGAACACTGATTCATAAAAAATGACATTCCTGGAAATTAATGTTTTCTTAGTATCCAGGTTGTAAAGGATATAACCTTTACAACCTAGAGGATACCCAAGAAATATACACTTAGAGGCTCTGGAATCAAATTTGGTTCTGTTGGCCAACAAGGTTGAACAATAACAAAGACAGTCAATGACTTTCATGTGATCATAAGTAGCAGGTTTATTGAAAAGCATTTAAAAAGGAGATTTATCATTTAAACCAGGTGTTGGAATTCTGTTGATGATATGAGCAGCAGCAAGAACACAATCAATCCAGAAATGTAAAGGCAAATGAGCATGAAAAAGTAAAGCTCTAGCTACTTGCAACAAATGTTGATGTTTCCTTTCAACTCTTGCATTTTGTTGTGGTGTTTCAACACATGATGTTTGATGAATAATGCCATGATCAGTATAAAATTGTTTAAGAAAGAATTCAGAACCATTGTCAGTTCTGATAATTTGTATTTTCTTGTCAAACTGTGTTAACACCAGATTATAGAAATGATGCATATGAGTTTTGATGTCTGATTTTAAAACAGTTGGATAAATCCAGGTTACTCTACTGTAGTCATCTACAATAGTTAGAAAATATTTATGACCAGAATGAGAAATAGTTGAAAATGGACCCCATAGATCACAATGAATTAGTTGAAAATGAGTAGTAGCAGAAGAGGAACTTTCAGTAAAGGGTAACCTTTTCTGTCTGGAAAAGTGACATACATCACAAGGAGTCATAACTCTGTTTTTTGAAAGAAGAAATAGGTAATGTATGAAGTTTAGAGTATGATAAATGGCCTAATCTGTAGTGCCAGATGGAATTGTCATGTGTGTGATTATGAAAAGGTGATGGATTTACATGTGA